TAAAATGTATAAAAAGGATCGCTACTTATATTTTCATTTTTGTTCTAAAGAAAACATAAAATGAATGATTAAAACTGGTTTCCGATCAGTAAGTCACAAAATTGCATAATATTATAATCAACGGCAGAAATCTTGAAATCTAGTCCTTGCTGAATGAACATTTAAGAATAAAGGGATATTAAAGAACATCGTAAAATGATAATTTATTGTTTATTTAAAAACTTTCTAGTTTCTGATGTCTACTATTTCCAGCATTACTGTTATTATCACAAAAATAAAGGTAATTTTTCTTCTTATTGTACACCTATCCATTTATTTCTTTGATTTAATTTCCACTTTGTTAGTGAAATTTGTTATATAAGTTTCACTGTTTTTTTTTGCTAGTATTTGTACAATTTTCAACACAGCAACTCCGGTTGCTTATTGTGTTGTTTTTACCTACTTTTTTGAAAAAAAGTAAAATGTATACGTGTATTTGATATGCCAAAATTACAAAATATCCCCCTAAAATGCACGAATTATCCGCAGCTAGCGCTAGTATCGCTTTTGCTTCCCTTTCCATGACTTCGCACGGAGCGAATAAGGTATACCTACTGATTTAAACAAGCATACAATATGAATCTCTTATTTACCGCACCATTTACAAAGATGGGTCATTCCATAAGACAGATTTTAATATCGTAGTAGGCATGTCGTTTCCATAACAACCATAATGAACGTGACTATCAAGCATGATTAGTGTATATCGAATGTCAAAAGTACAAAACAAAATATGCATACGAGTTTATGCAAATGGACCCATTTTCGTATTGATTTATCTAAGAAAACGATTAATTTTATATTGTATTAAAATAAAATAATAGGTGTCTGCGATTGTAAAGGGTAATAATACCAAGACCTTGATAGTAGTCAGCTATTTTTGTTGCATCTAAATCTCGAGAATATTTTAATATCAATTTGATGAGATATAATTTCTGGCATTAATAATGAGAATAAATATATTTGGCATTAGCAGTTATTAAATATACCTATTCGCGATTCAAATTAAGTGATACGCCCTCTGGAGGAAATTTGTAGAAGGTGCCATAAGTAGGATATCGTTCAGTATTGCAGAAGTAGAGAAATTTCACTACGTCGTCGGATTTTAGCCCTTCAAGAAATGGATAAGACCTTTTATTTAAGAATCAAAATTTGTGTCTAGTAATATGTAATCATGCACTATATTTTCCACACTCGTGTGATAGTCGCACTCAGCTTGTGCCTTGTGCGACAATATTTCCCACTCGAGTGAAAAATGTCACTTTCCACACTCTTAATGTAATATACTATATACAGGGTGATTCACATAAGAACCGACATAGAGCAGGGGCATATAGGAGGTCCCAAAATATGGCAATTTAACGCAACTTACCTCTATACCAAGTTGCTTCCCTAAGGAGTTATAGGCTTTGAAAGTGAAGTTATAAATTTTGAAAAAATCAATATCTCCGTTATTCTTGAACTTAAAGCAACCAAATTTGGTACACTTTGTGGATGTATTTAGGGCATTACTTGACAGTAACCAGAGTTTAATTGAAATTTGTAAAGGGGGTATACTGGGTGGCGCACCATTAATATTCAACAGAATTTTGTTAACCCTTGATGGATTTTAAAAATCTTTGCTTTGTTTTGTGGGCAATTCAATTCTTAAACTTTTCTTACTCTAGTAATTTTTCGAAAAAACTCATCATTTTCATCAAAAACTCGAATAACTTAAAACGCGCGCTCTAGGTGTGTTATTTAAAATCATCGAAAATTCAAAAGTTGGCTGTGAAAATAAACGTCAAACTTGACAATGAAGCAAGTAAGTTGTTCAATTAAGTAATTGTTGTTTGAGTGTTTTTAAAATGAACGGGAAGTTTTCTTTTAACGAGCAAGTTGACATGCTGTTAGTGCTAGGTTTTTGTGAAGGAAACTGTAGAAGAAGTGTAGAAGAATATCGTAGAAGATTTCCTAACCGTATCATTCCCCATAGAGAAACATTTTCTAATGTTGAAAGACGAGCTAGAGAAACGGGCAAGTTTCTCAATAATACTCGAGAACGTGCTGTCGCACTCAGGCCACAAGTTGAGGTAGCCATTTTAAATGCTATTCAAGATGATCCACATATTATACTCTGTTTTTAAACTAAGAGGAGCGATTTGAATTTAAGTTGGCAATTCTGTAGCCTTCTGATTGGTCAGATTACAGTCAGTTTCACACATTACTTTTTAGCATGAACATCAGCTAATAATTGATATCGTTAACAGTTCTGACATTTTATAATTTGATATCTCATCCATTACTTAGTTTTTTACTTTATTTCGTAAATAATAGTTCTTCAGTAAGCAATTGTATTGAAAATCTACAATTATGGATCCTTCTACACTGAGTACTATTAAAGGTAGCAATTCCTGAAAAGCCTTACAAGAAAGGGAAGACACCTTTATTATTTTACATGCTAATTCTGAAAGTTTTGTAGAAAATGCATTATTGGTTTTTGAAGGTAAAGATATGGGAAATTACCATGAAGAGATGAATTCCGAAGTATTTTAGAAAAAAATTATTTTATTATTGATTTTTAAAACTAAAAATTGATGAATTTCTAACCAAAATGATTAAAATGTAACTAAATATTTAAGCAAATTTTATTTATTAGAATAGAATAAAACTATTTACAAAATTGTTATAACATTTAAAACACCATCTACTACTTTAGGGATAATCTTAATTTGGCACAATGAGAACATTATTTTCACAAAAAATATATGTTGACATGTAGTGTTATGAAAATGTTGGTTCCAGTTTTCAAAACAAATTCTCATAGGCCTGTAAACTTTTGAATGCCCTTATTTGCCCTCTAGCGCATTAACGATGGGTTAACACTAAATAAGCCATAATATCCACATTACTCATAGAAGAGATACCATTTACTGTGTGATCCACTTGTCATTCACTGATTACCTTTTATACCTATAACAAATATATCCTTAAAAATGTAAACAGATCTTTATATTTATACTAACCTGGCTACATCTGAATATTCCATTAACAATTTTCTTAAATATTTAATATCCATTTTAAAAAGATCATAGTTATTCTCAAAAAGTCGATTTCAAAAGCAAGAAAAAAGTATTTCTGACATCAATCAACAACCATATTGACTTTAATTTGACAGTGACTTTTCGTTTTAGACACACATTTCAGATCACAATAATGTGAAATTTGCGACCGTTGTCTGGGACCAATTAAAAAATTACTTCTATGACATTTATTCGTTTCTTAACCGCTCATTGGCCGTTCACCGACTAGGGCCGATAAAGATAATTATTTCATAAATTTTGAACTCGACTATATTTCGAAACTCGCTCTTAGTAACAAATCTAGTTACTTTTCCCTGTGTAAATGCGTCTTTTCAATTCGCTCCTCCTAGTTTAAAAACAGAGTATAGTACTAGTAATTTATCTCGACAAATTGGTATATCGCAGAGTTCTGTGCATCGAGTTATCCGTCGCAATCTACTATACCCTTATCATGTACAAAAAGTCCAAGAACTTTTACCCGGAGATTTGGTTCAACGTGTCAATTTTTGTCAGTTTATTCTACACCAAGATAATAACTTCCAAAAGAAAATTCTTTTTACGGATGAGGCGACTTTCACTCGCAGAGGTATCACAAATCTCCATAACTATCATGAGTATTCTGACGTAAACCCACATGCAATAACTCCTCGGCATTTCCAACGTGAATTCAAAATTAATGTTTGGATGGGAATTATTGATCGATATTTAATTGGTCCTGTTGTTTTACCGAATCGGCTGAATGGTGAAAATTATTTAGAATTTCTACAAAACACCCTTCCGTATCTACTTGACGAGGTACCTTTACAACTAAGGTTGCAACATTGGTTTATGCACGATGGAGCACCGCCTCATTTTAGTATGAACGTAAGAAATTTTTTAAACCACCAGTATCCCAATAGATGGATAGGAAGAGGAAATAATTGCCCACAACGTTGGCCCCCAAGATCACCTGACCTGAACAAATGTGACTTCTTTCTGTGGGGAACGTTGAAAGAATTTGTGTATTCTTCGCCCGTTGCGTCTCAAGAAGAATTATGGAATCGCATTATTCATAAATGCACATCTATTAGGAATAATCAACAGTTATTAGATAGGGTGGATTTTAATTTTCGAAGAAGAATAAATTTATGCGTAAGAGAAAACGGCGATCATTTTGAACAATTTCTTTAATTTATCGATAAACAATTGTTTGTTCTGGTTGTTGTTTAAGTTTTTTGTGTTTATTTTGGTTAGTTGTTAATCCCAGTTTTTCACATTTCAGTATCTGTACTTACTTTAAGTTATTTTGTTACGTATCTAAATAATAATTTGCCAGCCAATTCCTACTGATCACATTAAATGACCTACTTTCTTGTTTGACGTTTATTTTCATAGCCAACTTTTGAATTTTCGCTGATTTTAAATAACACACCTAGAGCGCGCGTTTTAAGTTATTCGAGTTTTTGATGAAAATGATGAGTTTTTTCGAAAAATTACTAGAGTAAGAAAAGTTTAAGAATTGAATTGCCCACAAAACAAAGCAAAGATTTTTAAAATCCATCAAGGGTTAACAAAATTCTGTTGAATATTAATGGTGCGCCACCCAGTATACCCCCTTTACAAATTTCAATTAAACTCTAGTTACTGTCAAGTAACGCCCTAAATACATCCACAAAGTGTACCAAATTTGGTTGCTTTAAGTTCAAGAATAACGGAGATATTGTTTTTTTTCAAAATTTATAACTTCAATTTCAAAGCCTATAACTCCTTAGGGAAGCAACTTGGTATAGAGGTAAGTTGCGTTAAATTGCCATATTTTGGGACCCCCTATATGCCCCTGCTCTATGTCGGTTCTTATGTGAATCACCCTGTATATATACTACTCGGGTGCTCAATTGTATGATATAATTTTCTTTACAGGTACTCTCCCTCGTCGGTCAGCTCCGTAGAAACGCCGGGCAGCATTTCGGACTCTCACAAAAATTATTTCGGAAACGAAAAAAAGTTTTATTCCGTAGACGAATTGAACGTCGATGGTCAAAAAGAATATTTGAACGATTCGTCCATGACTTGCTATTCGTATTTCAACAATGGTATATCCACCAGCTGCTCTGAATACGACCCAAAGATATTTTTGGCCAACGCCATTGGAGACTTGACTACTTTGGAGTCTGGCTGTCAAAACGTAAGTATATAAAAAAAAAATAGAAACTGAACAAACTTCAAAAGTGAAAATAATGTCTTGAAAAGTAGAGGAAATAAAAAAAAATTAATGAGATGTTATTACTATTTTTTTGTTAAAGTAAAGATTGCCCAGGCAAATCTTCAATATCGCCTTTCATTTGTAAGATACAGGGCAATTATTGTCCACGGTTAGGCACCACATTAGTGGTGATAGAACTCATCCTGTGGACTTCCTTTGAATCTGCAGATGGAGATGGTGTCCTGTCTTATATGTGTCTCTGCAGTTCTCGTAGAAGTAGCTGAGACATCCATCTAGATGCTCTGTTAACAGATTCGTGTGGTGTTTTATCAAACTTCCTTCTACGTCTAGGAAGACACGGTTGACCGTTTCTTTGTTTTTCAGTATATCCTAAATTTCGTTAGTTAGTTGTACCAGGGCAGTTTCTGTAGATATTCTGTTGTAATTGTTGTTCAATATATTAATACGCAGTAGATCACTTATATAACGTTTATTTAATAAAGTTCATCAAATTTCTAGAGGTGTTCGACGCCCAGACAGAGAACGCGCTACGTGTGACTAAGATAGCTATTGTACAGTCTGCTAAACAAGTTATTTTAAATAGTTTTTAATATTTTTAGGTAATTAAATTTTAAAAGTGTGGAATAGTTTAGGGATTAAATTGGTCTGATTGGACTTTCTTAGAACGTTTTAAAAAGCAGCTAAAGATAGTATGTAGAATTGAAAATAATTATTATGCCATAAAAGGTGTTTTGGAATTCCTTCAACCTTTTGAAATTGAGTCAGAAAATATAAAGTTTATAGGATAGCGGAAAATACCTATAATTTTTTTGTAGGCCTTTGTAAATCGTGAAAATAGTTTATATTTTATTTCTACCTTATTAAGGAAAATGGTACCTATTATTAATAACGGTTGTTTCTGAAACATTACTAAAATTTTCGAAATTTTGTTTTTCTACAAAATAATAAACTATACTATTTAGAAAAAAATGTATTTCTCTTATAATTTTATAAAAAATAACAGGGGAATATTTACATTTCTTGATCTATTAAACAAAACGATAAATTATCTCGACGAATGACACCGTTCTAGTACGGAAGCTAGCTTTACATTTTTGTTGGTGGTTTCATGGGTTTCATATCAATTTTTTGTAATTGTAGTTTACACGTACATATACCTCTTAACACTTGTTTGCTTTATTAAAAAAGTGTGTTGTTGTGATTTACGTCGAAATAAGTCAAAAACAACTTGAAATCCCATATAAAATCAAAAAGGAGAAATGGAAAAAAATTGAGCCTGTAAATGAACACAACTCAGAAACAAAAATAGCTATCTAATAATAAAAAAATAAAATTTGATTCTTGTGCAGCTTCATCTATATCATTAACTGTTTTTGGTTTTTTAATAGTTTTTCTTGGTGATGAAAATTCCGATATCTCACGGTTATCGATTCTTTTTTTCTCTCCAGAAATGCGGACGACAGTGTTTTTAGATACTCCTGTGGCTGCAGCAACACGATCATTTACATTTTTAAATGGTATTGAAGGTGAATTAAAGTTTCCTTCTCTTCTCATAAAGTCTATAACATTGGCTATTATTTCGCGAGATTGACTGTTAATCACGCGGCCTCTTAAATTGCTATTAAATATCTGGCATTTGACATTACATTTATCTTAGATCGTCAATAACTAGACTTGAACTTAATATAAGGTAAAAGGAAAGCATTACTTATGAATAAAATGGGTTTATAACAACATATTCTTTTACCTAATATGCTAGAGGGCAAGTTAAGTGTTTCTCGTTGATATCATGTTAGACACTTAAAAAATTAACTTTTCCGTAATATTATAATTTTTATTAATTTTATAATAAAGAAGTTATAGAACCTTGAAGTTTTCGACAATTTTTAATAATCGCCCTGTATCTTTCAAATGAAAAGAGCTATTGAAGATAAGAAAGAGCGATCATTATTTTAACAAAAAAAAGTCACACCATCTTAACAACTTTTTTCAATTTCCTCTAGTTTTCGAGATGCCAAGTTGGGACATCAGGTACATATTTTATTGCCTTTTTCTTGTAGCGTACAGCAGACACCACCGAAACCTGCGAAACCAGCGTCGGCACGTCACACATATCTTCTCTAATTTCAAAATCGAACTCCTTTTGTTCTTCTCTAAAAAGAAACCTTAAACGAAAAAATTCCAAAAAATCAATCGCAGAATCAGCTAAAAATATCGTACTAACTACCGACGAACTCCTGGAGCAATACAAGAAGGAGTTGTCCAGACAAAATTCGATCATTTTTCAAATATCCAAAGCTTTGAATTTCTGCAAAAATTCTAAAGACTTCTTTATAGGCAGAGAAAGGTTGGAGGCTGAGAAAATTCTTCTGGTAGCAAGTAAGTTCTCCCTATTTTTCTGGTAGTTCTGCAACTATCTGTATTAAATTATTTATACGGGGTACCTACTATTTCTTAGAGACAGTATGGCTAGTTTTTAACGGTAACCGATAGAAAGTTGGTTAAATTAGACAAAAGTTTCGCAGTTTTGTACTAATTAAAATTGTGCCAAGAAACCTTTGATATCTACAGGGAGATTAAATCTAACGGATAAAAAATGAATGAATTTAAAAGAAATTACAATTTTCATTTCCGATATTTTGAATCTCCCTGTAGATATCAAATGTTTCTTAGCACCATTTAAATGAGCAACGCATGTTTGCTTCTTGCAGCTTCAGCTGATGGCTCCGCCATTAAGCATAAAATGTAACTGCTATTCGATTTTCTTTCTTGTCTATCTTCAGTCCAACTAGCGTCTGCATAACCGTAAAAACTGTAGCTGTTTTCTTGTATTGCGCAACTTTTGTCTAATTTAACCAAATTTCTACCTGTTACCTTTTAAGAAATGGAAATACTGACCCAATGAAATAGTATATCTATCACTAGTGCCTAATATACGATTTATTTCAGCAATAACTAAAGAGGCGCTAAAAACAGAAATCAACACTATAGAATTTGATACATATCGAAATATTTACGACCCTAGATGTACGGGGAACATCGAAATATCCGAGTTGGCTTTCAAATTGAAAGACACGACCCATCGAGATCGGCTTGCTGACAACGAAGAACACTTTTTGATGGTCCTAACTTGCGGCAAAAACGTCCTTTCCACCGAGATACTTAGAGAAAACGATGGCGTGGTGAAATCAGAGAAAAAGTTCAAGTTTCGAAGTTTGACGACCGATTTTGAAATTTCTCTGTTCGTGTATTCTTTGGTGATGAGCAAGATGGACTACAACAGTCAAGTAAGAGTTGTTTTTCATTATGTGATGTTGCCTATTTCAAGAGAGTTATTTTTCTTAGTGTAATCAAGCATTAAACGTACTAAATTAAAACTACACAGAGAAAAATATTTTATTTATAATTTTAAATGTTTTACTAATTTCGTCAATTTCGTTGTTTTTTATTTGTCTATTTAATTTTTTTAGGATGTTTTTAACGATTTTTGACATTTCTTTATATTCTTTTACTTATCAATCAGTTTATTCAGACTACAGCAGTCAAGTAAGAGTTCTTTTTAATTTTGTAACGTTTCCTGTTTCAAGAGTATCATTTTTCTTGTGTAATCATGCCTTAAACGTACTTGATTGAAACTACACGGAGAAAACTGATTTTATTAATAATTTTAAATGGTTTTACTAATTTCGTCAGTTTCGTTGTTTTTTGTTTTTCTATTCCATTTTAATAGTTTTTTAACTTTTTTTTTGTTTTTTTAATATTTTTTTACCTATCAATTAATTCATTGAGACTACAACAGTCAAGTAAGAGTTTTTTTTTATTGTGAGATGTTGCTTCTTTCAAGAGTATCATTTTTCATAATCAAGCTTTAAACATACAGGATTGAAACTACATAAAGAAAAATTATTTTATCAATAATTTCAAATGTTTTACTAATTTCGTCATTTTTTGTTTGTTTTTGTTTACACCATTTTTATAGTTTTTTAACAATTTTTTGTATTTTTTGTTATTATTTTACTCAGCAATTAATTCATTCAAACTAAAACAGTCAAGTAACAGTAGTTTTTTATTTTGTAACGTTGCCTGTTTCAAGAGTGTCATTTTTCTTAGTGTAATCATAACATAAACGTACTAGATTGAAACTACACGGATAAAAATTATTTTATCAATAATTTTAAATGTTTTACTAATTTCGTCAGTTCACTTGTTTTTTGTTTACCTATTTTATTTTTTTAGGATGTTTAACGATTTTTGACATTCATTTATACAGGGTGATTCATTACTAATTAGAAATATTTCAACTATACAATCCTGAGCTCAAATTATGAAAATTTAACCCAAAACACCTAGATAAAATGTGTCTCCATTCTGAGTGGTAGCCAGAAACGTTTATTTAACATAATTTAGTAGGGTGTATAGTATCTACGCTTCCCGTCAAATATAACAATAATGCGTCAAATAGTTTTAAAGTACTGGATTGATATAATTTTTAAATTTTTAAACAAAATACCCTGTAACTCAGAATGGACACATTTTATCTAGGTGATTTGGGTTAAATCTTCATAATTTGAGCTCAGGATTCTATAGTTGAAATATTTCCAATTAGTAATGAATCACCCTGTATTCTTTTACTTATCAATCAGTTCAATTAGACTATAACAGTCAAGTAAGAGTTGTTTTTCATTGTGTGATGTTGCTTCTTTCAAGAGTATTATTTTTCTTGCTGTAATCAAGCCTTAAACGTACTGGATTAAAACTACACGGAGAAAAAATATTTTATTCGTAATTTTAAATGTTTTACTAATTTCGTCAATTTCGTTGATTCTAGTTGTCCTATTTTATTTATTTAGGGTATTTTAATGAGTTAGATTTTTATATCCTTTTAAATATCAGTTAGTTCATTGGGACTGTTGCAAGTCAAGTAAGAGTTATTTTTCCTTTTGTTAGTTTAAAGAATATCACTTTTCTTAGTTTAATTAAGCCTTAAACGTACTGGATAGAAACTACACGAAAAAAACTTATTTTTTCAATAATTTAAAATGTTTGACTAATTTCGTCAGTTTATATAGTTGTTTTTGTTTTTCCATTTTATTTATATTTGGTATTTTTTATATTATTTTATTCATCAATCAGTTCATTTAGACTAAAACAGTCAAGTAAGAGTTGTTTTTCATTTTGTAATGTTTCCTGTTTAAAGGTATCATTTTTCTTACTGTAATCATGCCTTAAACGTACTAGATTGAAAATACATGAAGAAAAATTATTTTGTCAGTAATTTAAAATGTTTTATTAATTTCATCAATTTCGTTGTTTTTTGTTTTCCTATTTTAGTTCTTAAGAGTTTTTTAACGATTTTTGGCATTCCCTTATAGTATTTTATTCATCAATCAGTTCATTCAACCATAACAGGCAAATAGGAGTTTTTTTTAATTTTCTGATGTTTCTTGTTTCAACAGTATCATTTTTCTTAGTGTAATCAAGCTTTAAATATACTGGATTGAAACTACACTATGCAAAATTATTTTAACGGTATTTTATTAATTTCGTCAGTTTCGTTTTCCCATTTTACTTCTGTAGACTTTTTTAACAATTGTTTGCCTTTTTTATATTATTTTACTCATCAATCAATTTATTCAGATTAAACCAGTCAAGTAAGAGTTATTTTTAATTTCGTGATGTTGTCTGTTTCAAAAGAGTCATCTTTCTTAGTGTAATCAAGCCTTAAACGCACTGAATTCAAACTACACAGAGAAAAATGATTTCATCGATAATTCAAAATGTTTGAACAATTTCGTCAGTTTCGTTGTTGTTTTGTTTTCCTATTTTATTTCTTTATTTTTTTAAAGATTTTTGGCATTTTTGTATTCTTTTACTGATCACTCAGTTCATTTAAACTTCAACATTTGGTAGAAGTTTTTATTAATTTTCTGGTGTTATCTGTTTCAAGAATATTATTTTTCTTAGTGTAATTAAGTCTTAACCATATTAATTAGGCATTCCCTCGACCTCTCAAAGTCCTGAAAAGTGGGAACGGACGGTTTAGATATGGCAACCCTGTGGCCTGTTGTCATTGACATATTGCCTCAAAAGTGCTCATTAATCAGGATCAGTTTAGCAAAAATGTGTTTTAACACCAATTTTTAGCCTTTGAATAATAAATACCTAAGCTTAATATTTATTTTGAAAACATGGATGATCAATCTATATAACTATCTATATAATTGACTCTGTCAAATCACCAGGCCCACAATGTTGCCATATCACATCATAACCCGTCAAAACCCACTGGTATCCATTTTGTTTGGAATGCCTAATAGATTGAAATTGACTGAGAAAAATTATTTAATCAAAATTTTAAATGTTTTTCTAATTTATCAGTTTCGTTGCTTTTCGATTTCTTATTTAAGTTAGGGATTTTTAAATTTAAGGAATTTTTTTTCATTGGAACTACAACTGGCAAGTAAGAGTTTTTTTGCGATGTTTTAATAGTATCATTTTTTAGTGTAATCATGCCTTAAACGTACTAGATTGAAACTACAGTAAGAAAAATTTAAATTGGTTTATAATTTCCTTATTATCGTTATTTTTTTGTTTTTCTATTTTATTTGCTTATTCCTTATTTATATTTTTTATATTATTTTATTCGTCAATCAGTTTATTTATGCTACAGCACCCAAGTAACAGCAGTTTTTCATTTTGTAACGTTTCCTGTTTCAAGAGTGTCAGTTTTCTTAGTGTAATCGTGCCTTAAACGTACTAAATTGAAACTACACGGAGAAAAAGTATTTTATCAATAATATTAAATGTTTTACTAATTTCGTCAGTTTCTTTTTATTTCTCATCCTATTTTTATAGATTTTTAACAATTTTTTGCATTTTTTAATATTATTTTACTCATTAAGACAACAGTCAAATAAGAGTTTTTTATTTTGTAATATTGTCTGTTTTAAGAATGTCATTTTTCTTAGTGTAATCATGCCTTAAACGTACTGAAATTAAATTACACGCAGAAAAATTTCGTCAGTATCGTTGTCTGTTTTCCTATTTTATTTCTTTAGAGTTTTTTAACGACATTTTTCATTTTTTATATGCAAAGAAACTACACTAAGAAAACTGAATTACTTAAATACCATCTATTTCAGGACCAAGTGAAAAAATGCCCATCGCCGAAGAGCATCTTCAAATGTAACACGCACTCGAGACAATACAGAAGTTCGTACAAATTCAAAGCCTCCGAACAGATCGCTTTCGTACCGATCGGACGTTGCCACGTCAGAAATTCCGAAATATCCTGCATAAAAAACGGGAATTTGAATTTGAAATTGGAACAGGATCCTGAACGGTCGTCTTTGCAACAGGAATTCGATATGCGAATCGAAACCAGTTTCCAATTGACCAATAGATTGCCGGGATTTTTGACTATCGGTGTTGACAATGATAAAAATTGTTTGACGTGGAACCGAAGGTGGTGCATATTAGGTAAGTGATCTAGATTTGAATATAATCTATGACTACTATACTCTATGTATTACTTATCTTTTAAGATGGATTCCTTTTAAAATACTGGAACTACCCCTCAGACGAAGCGTCCGAACCTCTAGGAGAAATAGATGTAAGACTGACAGCCGCCGAAAAAATCGTTCCGGCTGATAGAACGGTTTGCGCCCGCCCTAGAACCCTCGCCCTGCCCGTAAGCGACGCCGATGGTGGAGTAAAAAAATATTTTTTATCCGCCGATACGCAGTCCGACCTGCTAATGTGGGAGTCCGAACTGAATTTCGTCGTGCAATCGCTGATGATTTGGCGAGGGTCGAAACGTTGTTAAAATAAATCGTTATATGCAGGGTGGCCCAAGTTATAGTTTACAAACAAGCTTATATGAAAAGATAAAAAAAATTAATCGAAAACTTCTTTATTGGTATTCCAATACCTTTTTAATGACGTTTCTAAAATTTCATTGACTTTTACCACCCTTTGCAAACTATTCCAAACTTTTTTTTATCAATTCACACCAAATTACCCCCTTTGACTGAAGTTACCCCTTTCTCAAGTAGTTCCAAACACTAATCTGACCGAACTTTACCCATTCTTCTTCAAGAAATACTATCTAAACTACACTTTACCCCAGTTACCCCTTTTTACAACTTTTTAAAGACTACTACCCCATAATTTAATCTAAAATCAATTGCCATTTTATTTCAAATCCAGCGACATCATATTTACTAGTTTTAATTATTTACTAATGTCAAATCATCTTTAGTTCTAACTGGATTTCATTGTGAAACATGTTTTTTGTTTGAGATAGAACCAGTGCACATTTTGCGCTCTTATTTAGTAAATACCATATCGCTCGTCCGACTGCAATAGTGGCACATCTCAAAAAAATGCAAATTTCTTAGAAACGCTTGCATTATATTTGAAAGTGGCACAAATGAGTAAGTAGTAAGCATTAATGGCATATTTTGAGTTATGTCACTATAAACCCTGTCTTCGACCTATTTCGTTAAATGTACCAGTATAGTTTATATAAACTATTCAATAAATTTGACTTATCAGACTAAAAATTAGTACACACAAACTCACTAGTGATTACAGCCAAGCTCATTAATGTTATTGAAGTAATATTTGGAAAATTAATACTTCAAATACTTAAAACTTTAATACTGATTTTCTACTTTTAATTTATTTTTGATTTGTACCAGTATTGTCGTGATATAAACGAGATTAATTTTGAGCATTTTTCTTACATTCTCCATAAACTAGTAACATATCGTTGGTGCATAGGAATAGTGACACAACTCAAAAATTTAAATTTGTGAGTTTATTGTAAAAATGTATAACAAAATTAGTATATTTTTATGAGAAAGGACGACATATTGCTACTTCCAAAAATGACAACTGGAAGACGAGTGTGTCATTTTATCCGTACTACAAAGTGGCGAGTTTATGATGATGAAGAGTGACACAAATCTAGTTGTGCTCCGACAGTCAATGAGACTGTGAATGAGACAAGATCGGTCATTTTTTGGTGACGTAAATCAAAATATGCTAGTTTTATTAAAAATAAACTAAGTAAAAACATTATTTTCAATAGTGATACAACTCAAATTAAGATGTTATTGTTGAAAAAATACAATCCCTTTGAACCAGTAACATATCTTTGAATTACAAGAATAGTGACGTAACTCAAAAATTTACATTTTCGAGCGATTTCTGAAAATATAGCAAAATTCATATATTTTTATGTGGAAGAACGACATATTGCTACTTTCAAAAATGATCGCTACAAAGAGGTTGTATCGTTCTTCCAGTACTATAAAGTTGTGAGTTTATGAAGGAAGAAAAGTGAGACAAATCTAGTTGTGATCCAACAGTTAATGAGACAAAATCAGTAATTTTTCGGTGACAAATCAAAATATGCCACTTTAATTGAACATAAAATGAGTAAAAACATTATTTTAAATAGTGACACAACTCAAATAAAAACATTCATCAAAAGATAATTATCCATATTTCAGTAACATAATTTTTGAAGTACAAGAATAGTGACACAATTCAAAAATTTATATTTTCAAGCATATTGTGAAAGTAGCAAAATCCGTATATTTTTATGTGGAGAAATGACATAATATTGCTACTTCCAAAAATGACCACTGCAAAGCAGTTGTGTTGTTCTTCCAGTACTACAAAGTTGCGAGTTTATGAAGAAGAAAAGTATACAAATCTAGTTGTGTTCCGACAGTTAATGAGACAAGATCGATCAATTTTCGGTGACTTTAATCAAAATATGTCAGTTTTATTAAGAATAAACTAAGTAAAAACATTATTTTCAATAGTGACACAACTCAGATTAAGACATTATAGTTGAAATTATATATTCTCCATAACATATTTTTGAAGTACAATAATAGTGACAACTCAAATTAAAACATTGTTGAAAAGAGACATTCTCCAATAAACCAGTAACATATTTTTGAAGTACAAGAATAGTGACATAACTCAAAAATAGTTTTCAAGCTTATTGTAAAGTACACCAAAATTTGTATATTTTTATGTTGAAAAACTACATATTGCTACTTCCAAAATGACCACGATAAAGCAGTTGTGTCGTTCTTCCAGTACTACAGAGTTGCGAGTTTATGACGAAGACACAAATCTAGTTGTGCTCTGATAATTAATGAGACAAGATCGGTCATTTTTCGGAGACATAAATCAAAATATGCCAGTTTAAGAATAAACTAAGTGAAAACATTATTTTCAACAGCGACACAACTCAAATTAAGACATTATTGTTGAAAGGATACATTCTCCATAAACACGTAACATATCTTTGTACAAGAATAATGACACAACTCAAAAATTTACATTTTTACGCTTATTGTAAAAATGTATAGCAAAATCCCCATATTTTCATGTAGAAAAAAGACATATTGCTACTTCCAAACATTACTGCTGCAAAGCGGATGTGTCGTTCTTTGCATAATACAATGTCGGAGTTTATAATGATGAAGAGTGACTTAAATCTAGTTCTGTTCCGACCAGTTAATAGAAAATGGCCTCAATTTTCGGTTATAGTGACATAAATCAAAATGTCAATTTCATTTAAAATAAACTAAGATCATTAGTTTTTCAACAGTGACACAAGTCAAATTAGGAATTATTGTTGAAAATCATCAATATCATGTGAAATATACTTTTTTGGAAGATCGTCATAACTCAAAAGAGACATGAAGATATATTTTAGGGTTTTTCTTAATGGTATCAAGCAAATTTGTTATTTTTTTAATACAAGTTGATTTAAAAAAATTTTAAAATGCAAGATTACTTACAGGAAACGAGAAACTTTAAAATGGATGTCCTCGAAAATTTATGTTCTTTGAGTTGTGTCACTATTCTTGTTTATCAAAGAATATCAAAGTGTTCCTCAAGACTATTTTTTTTTCTCATTTGCTTTTTATATTACTACTACTTTAAAAAACTTTATGTTTTTGACCATAATGGTGGTAGGAATCCAAAATTTTTGAAGAAGGTAGATAATTTAGAAATCAAAATTTTTCTTTTTTGATTTTATTAAATTGAAACTACTAAGTATTATATTGCACATTTTCGAGAATAACGACACAATTCAAAAATCATCAATTCTGAGATTATTGCACCAATATAATAATTAAAAACGTACATTCTTATGCAGAAATAACGACACTTCCGTAGTTATAAAATTTACTAGATATATTGTTAAAATTGTTATCACAATTATTATTATTATCTCGATTTTTGAGTTGTGCCTGTATTCTCCCAAATGAGCGATATGTATTTAAAATATAGTGGCAATTAATTTTCAATTAAATGTACCAGAAGGAGCATTTGATAAAAAAATGTTAGGGTTAGTTTTCAAAAGGTGGTAAAATTAAATAAACATTTTTGAGGACTATTGAAAAAAAATTTTTTGATTTATCTTTATCTTTTCAAATAAGCGAGATATTTAACTTTGAACACTATGTATATGATAATTTTGTTTGTTGCTGTTAAATTAAGAAAATCCGAATGTTGTGTTTTGTTTTTTGTATTATTTAAAATGCGTGTTTTGTAATGTACAAACGATGTAGTCGAATGTTAAAGAGTTTTTTGTTATAAACAAAATAATTCTATCGAAAGTTTTAATTTTAAAATATATCTCAGTATTTTTATAATATACGAAGGATTCCTTTTACTTTTTTGTCTGTTGTTGAACAATAAAGTTCAATAAACATATCTATTTTTAATTTTTATCTACATCCACTGTATGACCTGATAGATGAATATAGATAGGAAAAGATGGGACAACCTCTATAAAAATCACTGGAAGGAACATGCTCATCTATACAGATAGCAGACAAGCACTACTCACCCTGAACAGACCACGAATTTATTCAGGGTTAGTACTAGAATGTCATGAAGCTTTGGCCGAAGTATCCATCAACAATGTGGTCACCTTAAGATAGATCAAAGGTCACGCCACATCGAAAGGTAACCGTCTTGCCGATTCACTAGCCAAGAAAGCAGCCAACCAAATACTTTTTGGACCTGGCCCTTCTATTGGCCTGACAAAATCGGTAGTGACAGACCTAATTAAAGAACGTTCTTAAGTTATCCTGACAACACTGCAGCAAACAAATACTTGACTATGACTAGACATAATCTGCGTCTGGTCACAGGCATTCTGACTGGTCATTGCCAAGTACGGAAGCATCTCCATATCATGGGGCTGTCAGAATCCGCACTCTGCAAAGGGTGCGAACAAGAAGATAAGACCATCGAGCAAATCCTTTACGATTGCCCGACGCTCTCATTTATTAGAAGATTTGTGTTCGGCGAGTATCGGCTAACACCGGCCGATATAAGAGAAGCACCTCTTGGCGACGTTGTCAACTACATTAAATCTGTAGGCTGGCTGACGAGCTAGGAGGTGCCTATCATCTTCGGAGGATGCACAATGGGCCTAATGAGGCCTAAGTGCCGTGGGGGTAACCCACCCTCCACACGTTACAGATACAGATACCTCTATAAATAAATGAAATAATAAAATTTTGTGTATTTAATAAGATTAATACATAAAAATAATACCGTGTATACAAATTTTGGAACAACTTGTGTGATAATTTTACTGGGGTATTTTAGATAAAATAAAAGATGAATTTAGGACCAATATTTACCCTTAATACAAAAGAAAAAATATTACGAACAAAATTTGGGACATACAATGATCGAACATTTTAAATGAAATGAATAAATTTGCGACACTGAGTATTTATTGCCCATGTCAGAAAAAAGATTTTGGGACAATCTGTATAACAATTTTTTCCTATGGAGTATTTTAAATGAAAAAATTGTAAGTACCAAGTTTCAGTAAAATCAGAGTAAAAAATTATCCAGAAATGTTTTAACTTTATTCTATATCTATGGTTTTAACCAGAAATAACAGGAGATGTAACTATTAATAAATATCGTGCGGTCCTGAATGGCTCTCGAAACTGCATCCCAAAAAAGGGTTTCCTATCTGATTCGAAAAAGGTCACAACGAAATTGCATCCCTTAAGGTAAGGGTCACTTATTGTAGGCTAAGCAAATTTTGGTGTAAAATTGAGCCATTTGTTCCCACCTTTTGCGTTGTTTAATAAAAATTCTACAAACGTTTTCTTTATATTCAGTCGGTAACATTTTCAGAAAATATTTTTTAGCCAGTAAGGTTTTAAGAATATTGATTCTTTTTAGTAACTTATTAATTAATCTAGGTATTTTGTAAATTGACTAATGGGCAATAATTCAACAACTACATATTGTTTGTAAATTGGGCCCGCGGTCAGGGATTATTTACCTGACCCTACGGATTAAAAAAGGGTAAGTTGGGTATAGGCGGTACGCGACAACTCGGCGATGCCAAGTCGGCGATGGCCAACTCGACGATGGTAAATTCGGCGACGATGAACTCGGCGAAAAGGAATACAATAATATAATATGCAATTATTTATTATAATACAATATAATATACAATCTATAAAAAAAATTGATTAGAGAACTTCATTAATAAAATAAAAATATATAAAAGATTTTAAAAGTGGCAATAAAATCAATTAAGGGTTTTAACTACAATTAGGGTTTCTAATACATATTATTAGAAAGCAAATTAAAATATTAAGGGAAAATTTAGAGCTTAAGATTTTTCAATGCAAAATAAAAATAAGATATAATATATTAAAATATTAGGTTATGAAATAAAAAAAATTAAGTAACATATTATATGCTGAAACGGAATTAAAAAATAAAAACTGAAATAAAAAAAAAGGTTGATTATAGAATATTGTTATTTATTATAATACACATTACAATTATTTATAATACATATATTTATTATAATACAATATAATATAAAAAAACTAATTCATGTTGTAATTATGTGATATCCCTCTGAGATACTTGATCAAATTTTGCCTGTTATAATTGGCCACTTTATTTAAAATCCTCTCGTCGACTTCCTCATAACCTTTCCTTTTTGATGCGCCATTGCGCCCGGCAATTGCTCGTTCATAGTCTGCATCGTACGAAGGCTACCTTTTTTAAATTATCTATGAATGTCCATAACGAAGGATGAGCAATGCCAGAACCAAAAGCCAGTTGCAACTTGCGATGACATGCTTCTGCAAAATTATTTGTCCTATCTCGTCCATTCAATGTTCGAAAATAAACGGACCAAACTGCTGATGGAAAAGTTGCTGGCACTCTGGTTCCATTATTTCTAAGTCGACCGATATAATTGCTAGTAAACCATTCTAAAATTGGTTCTAATATTTCTGGCAACTCATTTTCCAATTCGGCAATGGCCTCAATCACATCCTCTTCTGGGACAAATGCCAATGATGTTACCATTTTTGCTTGTAGTGCAAATTCGGGATCAGTATTGTACATTCCTAGGAGATTGCAAGAAGATAAATGCTTTCGAAGATTTTTGACCAAGTGGAATAAGCATCCTCTAATTTCGGCTTCTGGGAAAACTTGTCTTACGGCCTGGTGAATTGCCAACTCAAAGTCGACACTGATGCTTTCCGGATTTAATTGCGGCCAAAGAACTTTTATCATGTTAAACACATTGAGATATGTTTCTGCACTTTTATTGGGCAGCAAGCAATATAGTACAGGAAAAACTGGACCCTTCTCTTCATGCGTATCTTTTCTTGCCAGAACAACAAATATTTGAGCAAAAAGTGGAGGACACAATAAGAATGTGCCGTCAACAAATAATTATTTCATGCTTGCACTCCATGTTGCATGGTATCCTCTACCAAATATTAGAATTCGATGTGGACCCACTTGATCTCTTCCGGAATCTGCCAGCAAAAAATTCTCAAATTGAGTAGGGCTGTAATAATATTGCGAGTACACTTCTGGGATGATAATTTCACTAAGAGTTTCTGGATTGGCGGGTGCTTTGCACATGGTTACTCTTACTCTTTGAATGTTTCTCCGCATAACACTGGAACTTGGAAGCATTCCTTTAACCGCAGCTGGTACATTCTCCAAAACTAGTCCTCTGATTTGGGCAGGATTCTCCATCGTTGTCGCGGCCAGGTGCTTCACAGTGGTATTCATTTTTTGCAGAACAACATTTGCTGCATTTCCTACCGTATACTACATGTGTGTTCATTTCGTATACATTTGAAAGAACCATCCATAATGGTCCATATTTTTCCTTTGCATCTTTCATGCTTGTTTTCGCAGCGCCAGAATTGAATGGTGTTGTCCTTGTTCGTTTTATCCTTCGTGTATAGGTAGCCATCCCAGTAGTACTTTTCGTGACCCCTTTGGCTAAGAACTTTATTTTCCATCTTGAGTCTCAGTAAATAAAAAACTCACACAGACAAACAAAATTACACGCAATGTCTTTACTTCTGAGATGAATTCGGAATATTAAGGAAAGTGAATATCACCAGTCTTGATAATCATTTAATTGGTCCCCATTTTCTTCCGCTACGATTAAATGGTGAAGCATATATCTCCTTGAAGAATTACCTGTTCTTCTTGAAGAGGTTCCCATTCAAATTAGGCAACATTTATGGTTTATGCACGATGGTGCACCAGCTCATTTTAGTATACGTGCAAGAACTCACTTGGATGAGGTGTATGCCAATCAATGGATAGGTCGAGGAGGACCTGTAAACTGGCCAGCCCGCTCCCCTGACCTTAATCCTTTGGATTTTTGGATCTGAAATCTTTGATATACACAAACCCAGTTGAAAATATCGATGATCTGCGAAACCGCATTGTAGCAGGGTGTGAAACTATAAGAAATTCTCCAGGAATATTTCATCGTATACGCAATTCTATGAGGAAAAGGGTAGATGCTTGTATTAAAGCTGAAGGCGGTCATTTTCAATATTTATTATAATTGTATTGTCGATATTCGACAGATTTTTGTTCATTGTTTGTTCACTTTTGTTTTTAGTTGTAGAAGTCTTAAGAATCATAATTTGGTTGGCTGTTGTTTAATAAAATGCTATTTTACATGAGCTTATTTATTTTTTTCTCATAAATGCTTAAGTTTTCGAAAAAAACTTGTAGAGATAAAAAAGTTAATCAATGAATTGTGCTTTTCAGTCATACTTTTTTAAAGAAAAAATTTTCATCTAAAAAAAAGTTGTAAGAAAAAATATCTTAGGGGTTGATTATTTCAACCCCTTCTAAGCATACTTCAGGGTTGAAAAAATTTCAAAAAGTGTACTTTTATTGACAGATAATGTTTACCAAGTTTCGTGTCTTGCTTGATATACAGGGAAAATAAAAAAGAAAAACCTTTTTTTTTTAATTTTCGAAGGGGTGTAACTTTTCCAGGGAGGGTTTTTTCAAAAAATTTTATACCAAACACTCACATTAATTTTCATCACAGAATCACCCCTTTAATTTTCTCGGTGTTATTTAGATACACCCTGTATAAAAATATATCTTCCAATAATTTTGTTATATGCATGTCCCGTTTTCCAACATTTTTCTGATAAGGGTTCAATAAAGTACCTTTTTTTACTTTCAAAAATTACATTTGACAAAACTGGTTAAATTTTCGTAAAAATTTAGTAGTAATAAAATTTGCACCGCGGATACAGTTTCGTTGTTAAAAATTCTACATGACCGATTCGGAATGCAGTTCCGTCCTGAATAAGACATTCTAAGGGACACAGGAGGGTATAATATCCGCTGTTGTTATATGCCTATTTCATTATTCTCGTTTTGTTTACAAAATTATTTACATACGAGGTAAGCGCCAATAATTCCCGGCCTGACATAGTTGCAGATATTTTATCAGGATAAAAGTTTAAC